GAGGAGGAGGAGGAGGAGGAGGACGAGGAGGAGGACGAGGAGATGGAGGAGGAGGAGGCGGGGGCGGCCGTGGAGGGTGGTGTGGTTTACGCACACGTGCCCTATAGGTGGCAAGGGGGGGGGCATAGCTCCGCTCAGTAGGCGGAGCCCCGTGACGGCAGGTTCGCGTTGGGTCGACCGGCGGCGACCCCGCCGCCGGCGTTCACCGTTGAACGCCGGCGGTGGCCCATCATCGGTCGATGTTGAACGATCGGACGTTGCGGAAATGGCCGATCGTTCAAGGTTGAACGATCCCTGCGGTGTCAAAAACCAACGCCGGGGTTGACATGACACGAACCTGCCGTACACGTACCCTAGGTGGCAAGGGGGGGCATAGCTCCGCTCAGTAGGCGGAGCCCCGTGACGGCAGGTTCGCGTTGTGTCGACCGGCGGCGACCCCGCCGCCGGCGTTCAACGTTGAACGCCGGCGGTGGCCCATAATCGGTCGATGTTGAACGATCGGACGTTGCAGAAACGGCCGATCGTTCAAAGTTGAACGATCTTCGCGGTGTCAGAAAAACCAACGCCGAAGTCGGCACGACACGAACCTGCCGTAGCCGGGTTGTTTCCATTTCCCTTCGCCACATGGGGCACCTGTAGCCCACTGATGCACCAGTTTGGGCCATGTAGAACCGCCTGTGCATCCGCTTCTTACCCCCCTATCCACCGGCCATCCCAGTAGAGCCCTTTGAAGCCCCCCCAATCTCGCTGCTTACCGTCTCCTCCCCCCTCCCCCTCCCCTCCAGCGGGGTGGGGACGGAGAGGTCAGGTCATGCTCAGTTTCCTGTGCACTCATTATCTGGGCGACGAACAAAAACGGGTCCAACTGCAACGACACTGGCGCGTACGCTCCCCGCGTAAGGTCGCGCGTGAGCGCCCTCGTCTCCGATGTGGCGTGCAGCGGAAGATCAGATAGGAACCGCCGGCAGGCAGCCCCGGTGGCTCAAGCCAGGGACCACTGCTGGCCCACTGGCACAGTGCCCGGCCCCGGCGAAAGCTGTGCAGGTGGCGTGAGGCCCGCGTCGGCCAAGGACCCGTCTAAGATCGCCGCTCCTCTTGGCAGCAGGCTCGGCACGGGTCGCCCCGCGTGCACCGCGGCGGCTGGAGACCTCCTCTTCCCCTTGGCGGGGCTGCCCCGCGGCGCTGCACGCAGAGGGGCCCGCCCTGTAAGAACGGTTTTTTGAAGGCAGATCTGCCTTCAAAAAATGGTCTACTCTGTAAGAACGGTTTTTTGAAGGCAGATCAGCCTTCAAAAGAACGGTTTTTTGAAGGCAGATTTGCCTTCAAAAAACCGTTCTTACATTTTTTGAAGGCAGATCTGCCTTCAAAAAACTGTTCTTACAGAGCTCCCCTCTGGGCCTTCCAGACGGGGTCGGAGTAGGTTTACATCGGGCCTGTCCCTCGGCAGGAGGAGTATTCCAAAGTGGTCAAAAAAGAGTCAGGGGACGATCTTTCGAGTGTATGTTTGAGATGTTTGGTGCATATTTTGATTTTTTTGCATGGTTTCCTCCATCCGCATGTAGGGGAACATGCCCGACCGAACTCTAGGCCCCCCAGACGGGGTCGGGGTAGGTGGTGGGGTCGGAGGATCGCGCCGCATCGCCGCTGCATCGGCTCGATGTGTAGCCCGATTTGCTTCACGTCGACGTCGCCGAAGACCGCGTTTCCTCGCGCCGACGTCGCCGATGCATCGCCGACATGTCGGCGATGCGGCGCGACCCCCCGACCCCACCTGCTCCGATCCCACCTAGGAGGCCTCTGTCCCTGCCTCCGCCCCGACTCCTCGGCCGCATCCGGTACCCTACGCCTGCCTCGGGGAGCCGGAGCGGGCTTTTCGGAGTGGTCTCGGCCGTGGCTGGTCCACGCGATTTTCTGTACCGCTGCGTGCATGCCTCCTCTCGTCCCATCCGTCCTCCGCCATTCCTGCCCCCAGACCTCCGACGTGTTTTGGTTGCCGCTGCTTGTGGTACGGCTCGGGCCTCTGGAGCCTCTCAGTGGCGGGGGGTGTCGGAAATTGCCACCTCAGACTTTGGAAGACGACGCAAACTCTGGGTAGTCGAAGGCCAGACTGTCAGATTGGATTGGGCCCCCAGGGCCAATCTGGCCCGGCCAAACTGGATGATTTGGGTTATTCGCCAGACTGGATTCGCTTTGGCTCCCTCGTCAGATTGCCCCCGTTTGCCAGATTGGGCCTGCCAGATTGGCGCCAGATTGGCTTCGACTACCCAGCCTCTCGTCCCATCCGTCCTCCTCCGCCCTTCCTGCCCTCAGACCTCCGACGTTTTCTGTTGCCGTTGCTTGCTGTACGGCTCGGGCCTCTGGAGCCTCTCCGTGGCTGGGGGGCCCGGAGATGGCCACCTCGGACTTTGGAAGACGACGCAAACGGCACAGTCGAATGTTCAGAGCCCTCCTCTCTCCTCCTCCTCCTCCTCCTCCTCCTCCTCCTCCTCCTCCTCCTCCTCCTCCTCCTCCTCCTCCTCGCCCCCCTCCTCCTCCTCCTCCTCCGCTCGTCTTCCGTGGATCGGCGCCCGAGACCCCTTGGCGGCGCCTCCAGCGCCGTCCGTGGCGCGCCCTGCGCGCCGGGGGAGCGGGGACCAGCGCCGATCCGGGAAATCCGCGAAGGAGGGTCGACAGTTTGTGTGGATGCCGTGCTGTGCTCCTCCAGTCATCGAGAATGAAAGAACCGCTAACCCTAATCTTAAGAATATTCAAAAATAGCCAGACAGTAGTATGGGGACGATTTTCTGAGTATGTTTGACAATTTTAGATATTGTTTTGACTACTTTTCATTGTTCCTCCAAAGTCCGCCTGAAGTGGACACGCCCGACCTAAGCCAAATAACACAGTGAAGACGTGGCCACACTGAGGTTCCCGTCTTCGCATTGGGAATAATCATTCTGGGCGGTTTGTTTCGGCACATCTGCGGAAAGGCCCCCCCATCCCTAATGGTTTTGGCCTTCCTACCTTAGGTCCCCTCCCAAAGGGGTAGGGGTCCTTTTTTGGTTTACCATTGCCCTTCCAGACCCAAGCTTCAGCAAACTGAACCATTGCCCCTTCAGCCTGCAAACCCAAACTTCACTTTTTTGGTTCGTCGGAGGTCCGGCTTCTCCTCCATCCCTGCCCGCTCTTCCCCGCGCCCTGTGCTGGGCGTCGTGTCGGACGCTCATAGGCGCCACTGGCGATTCGGACGTGGATGGGCTCATTTTCTCTCTGTGGCACTGCCCTATTCGGCGGAGTCAATTCCTGGGCCCCCTCTCCATTCAAAAAGAGCACTGCGTTAACATGCCCACATCTCGCGGAGGGCAACGGACGCATGGAGGGAGGAGGGAGGAAGATAGAAGATGAGAAGGGTGAGGGGGACCGGGCTGGGGGGGGGAGCTGAAGACGAAGAGGCGATGCTCGTCCTGATGAGGGCGATGCTTAATAGGAAGGGTACGGATTGCTTCATACATGGCTCTGGTTGACTTTTGCGGTCTGCTGTTACGGTGACGATGACTTGATCCGACGGTGACTGCGACACTAATTGTCATGATCGGTGATGATGATGACGACGATGACGATGACGATGACGCTGATGATGACGGTGACGATGATGATGACGCTGATGCTGATGCTGATGCTGATGCTGATGCTGATGCTGATGCTGATGCTGCTGATAATGATTGTAATGGTGATGGTGGTGGTGATGGTGATGATGATGCTGCTGCTGATGCCGGTGGTGCTGCTGATGATGCTGATGCTGTTGCTGCCAATGCTGATGATGATGATGATGATGATGATGATGATGACGACGCTGATGCCGATTGCGATGGCGATGACGATGCTGATAACGCTTATGCTCGTGGTAATGCTGCTGATGATGATTGTGTTTATGATAATGGAGGTGGTTGTTGTGGTCATGCCGATGGTGGTGCTGATGCTGCTGCTCATTCTGATGATGCTGGTGACCATGATGATGTTGCTGATGATGAAGATCCCGATTCTGTGGCGACTCCTGCTGCTTGTGATGATGATGACGCCGACGGCGATGATGCTGATACTGATGATGATGATGATGATGATGATGATGATGATGATGATGATAATGCTGACGATGATGCTGCTGCTGATAATGATGATGCTGCTGATGATGATGAGTATTATGGTGATGGCAATGATGGTGATGATGCTGATGATGATGATTCTGATGATTTACATTGTCAGGATTGTGGCCGTGCTCGTGAACAGGAAGACGGTGACGATGACGATGATGCTGACAATGAAGATGGTGATGATGATGTCACTGACACTGACGATGATGATTATGATGATGATGCGGCTGACGGTGGTGGTGATGATGATGATGCTGACGATGATCATGATGATGATGATGATGATGATGATGATGATGATGCTGATGATGATGATGATGATGATGATGATGACGACGACGATGATGATGATGCTGATGATGATGATGATGATGATGGTGATGATGATGATGATGATGATGATGATGGTGGTGCTGCGGCTGCTGCTGATGATGCTGATGATGATGCTGATGATGATGATGGTGGTGGTGGTTGTGATGAGAATGATGATGAGGCTGTTGAGGATGACGATGGTGGTGGTGATGATGATGATGGCGATATACGGCTGATGGTAATACTAGTGATGGTGGTGCTGCGGCGGCTGCTGCTGCTGCTGATGATGATGATGATGATGATGACGGCGATACGGCTGCTGTTGATGATGACGATGACGCGGCTTGGATGACATGGGGGACTGTTGTGAACATTGTATCCTGCCAGGGCAACAGTGCAGGAGGTTTCAAACGACCCCTCCTTGTCCATCCTCCTCGCGTCTCCTTTCCTCCTCCTCCTCCTGTCTTCCCTCGCTCCAGCCTTCCTTCTAAGGGCCTCTTGGCAGCCCTGGGAGCCTCTTGGACGCCTCTTTTTGGCATTATGGGGGCCGCTCGAGGCCTCTTCGGGGGTTTGGGTTGCCGTCTTTAAGGGACCGGTTCCCACGGCATGTGCACGCTCCCCATCTTGGTGCCCTTTTCAGACCCTCTCGGAGGCTTCTTGGGCCGTCTTGGGTGCCCCTGGCAGTCTTGAGTCCCTCTTGGACCGTCTTGGGGCCCTCCTGGGAGTCTGTTGGGCCGGTTGGTGCGATATTGTTGGACTCCGGGGTCGTCTCCCGCTGTCAGAGGCCCGAGGAGACGAGCAAGCTAAACCGTTGGAACACTGTAGGCAAATCCATTATCTTTGTTGCTTCTTGAGGCCTTCTGGGGCGTCTCCTGGGGGCCATCCTGTGTCGTTCTGCTGGGCTCTAGTTGTGTTGACATCGACGTGGAGGGTCTTGCAGCTGTTTCAGTATGTTTTTGTCTTACTGTTTGGGCGCCGTCTGGAGGCCGAAGAGGGTGTCGAAACGCAATGCCTGGCGGCGCTCGCGGGGTCTCATAAAATTGTTCACGCTTCGCGTGCCCCCACTATGCCTGACGCGCTCCTTGCTTACGTGAGTGGTGGCTCGTGGCACTGCGCTCTGCCGCCCCAGATGGGTCGGTGGCCTGGCTGTCGACCCCCGCCGCGGCGTCCGCCTTGCCTTCCATTCGCTTTTCCGTGGCCGTCGAGAACTTGCACGCCGCCTGACTTGCTTGGTCCTCTTCCTGGACTTGGTCACGTACACATTCATCCGCCAGTATTGGTGTGCATCGAGGTCCTGGTCGTCGTCGGCTTCGGCGTGTACCTCCTGTTCTTCAGCGTCGGTTTCGCCTCCTGAGAGGCAGCGTAGCCCGCTCCTGTCGCTTAAGGCCTAACTTAGCCCGCTGCTCGTTAGTTCCGCGTTGACTTGACGCTGAACGATGTCGCTACGATCGCGATCGAAAAGTATCCCCGCCAGCCCATTCAGAAGCCTTGCCCACGAGAGCTGACGGGAAACAAGAGACGAAGGGACACATCTATGGAAACACAGCGAGCAACCAGGATGAACCGAGAAATCTCTGGGAGCAAAGGGGTGGCCTCGGAAGACCCCTTCCGTCCATCCCTGGGGGCCGCGTGGGGGCGAGAGGAAAAAAATGAGGGGGAGGAGGAGGGGGTGGAGGAGGAGGAGGTGGAGGAGGTGGGGAGGAGGAGGGGGAAGAGGAGGAGGAGGAGGAGGAAGAGGAGGAGGAGGAAAAGGAGGAGGAGGAGGAGGGGGAGGAGGAGGAGGCCTGTTGGGCGCCTCTTGGGGAACTCTTGGGGCCTCCTGGGAGGTTCCTGGGGGACTTTGGAGGGTTTTTACTTAACAGCTAAGACTGATAGGTTTCTAGTAGGGTCAAAAGAGAACATCATGACTCCCCACAGGGGGTCTGGCGGCGGGATCTGGACAGGGTGCCCCGGGGATGCCCCGGCAAACCGGGCACTCCATTTTTAGCTATCAGTAACCCCTTTTCTGGTCTTCGAGTTCCCAAGGTCCATTCGTGGGCATGATTTTGAATTCCCGGAGCCAACTGTAGGCCATTTCGTGGTCTTCGAGTTCCCAGAAGTCCATTCCTGGGCATGATTTTGAATGCCCGGAGCCAAGTGTAGGCCACTTCGTGGTCTTCGAGTTCCCAAAGGTCGACTCCTGCGCATTATTTTGAATGCCCGGAGCCAACTGTAAGCTATTTCGTGGTCTTCAAGTTCCCAGAAGTCCATTCCTGGGCATGATTTTGAATGCCCGGGGCCAACCGTAGGCCACTTCGTGTTCTTCGAGTTCCCAGAACTCCATTCCCGGGCCACATTTTGAATGCTGAGGCAGGCTGAGGCTGAGGTTGAGGCAGGCTGAGGCTGAGGCAGGCTGAGGCCGAGGCCGAGGCTGAAGGCAAACTGAGGCTGAGGCTGAAGCAGGCTGAGGCTGGGGCTGAGGCTGAGGCTGAGGCTGAGGCTGAGGCTAATGCAGCGTGAGGCTGACGCAGGCTGAGGCTGAGGCCGACGCTGAAGGCAGATTGAGGCTGAGGCCGAAGCAGGCTGAGGCTGAGGCTGAGACAGGCTGAGGCTGAGACGGGCTGCGGCTGAGGCATGCTGAGGCTGAGGCTGAGGCTGAGGCTGAGGCTGAGGCTAATGCAGGGTGAGGCTGAGGCAGGCTGAGGCTGAAACCGAGGCTGAAGGCAGACTGAGGCTGAGGCTGAAACAGGCTGAGGCTGAGGCTGAGGCAGGCTGAGGCTGAGGCTGAGGCAGGCGGAGGCTGAGGCTGAGGCAGGTTGATGCTGAGGCAGGCTGGGGCCGAGGCCGAGGCTGAAGGCAGACTGAGGATGAGGCTGGAGCAGGCTGAGGCTGAGGCTGAGGCAGGCTGAGGCTGTGGCTGAGGCAGGCTGATGCTGAGGCAGGCTGAGGCTGAGGCTGAGGCTGATGCAGGCTGAGGCTGAGGCTGAGGCAGCTGGAGGGTGAGGCTGAGGCAGGGTGAGGTTGAGGCAGGCTCCAGCTGAGGCTGAGGTTGATGCAGGGTGAGGCTGAGGCAGGCTGAGGCTGAGGCCGAGGCTGAAGGCAGACTGAGGCTGAGGCTGAAACAGGCTGAGGCTGAGGCTGAGGCTGAGGCAGGCTGAGGCTGTGGCTGAGGCAGGCTGATGCTGAGGCAGGCTGAGGCTGAGGCTGATGCAGGCTGAGGCTGACGCAGGCTGAGGCTGAGGCCGAGGCTGAAGGCACACTGAGGCTGAGGCCGAAGCAGGCTGAGGCTGAGGCTGAGGCAGGCTGAGGCTGAGGCTGAGGCGTGCTGATGCTGAGGCAGGCTGAGGCTGAGGCTTAGGCTGATACAGGCTGAGGCTGAGGCAGGCTGAGGCTGAGGCCGAGGCTGAAGGCAGACTCGGGCGGAGCCGAAGCAGGCTGAGGCTGAGGCTGAGGCAGGCCGAGGATGAGGCAGGCTGAGGCTGAGGCTGAGGCTGATGCAGGGTGAGGCTGAGGCAGGCTGAGGCTGAAGACGAGTCTGCAGGCAGACTGAGGCTGAGGCTGAAGAAGGCTGAGGATGAGGCTGAGGCTGAGGCTGAGGCTGAGGCTGAGGCTGAGGCTGGCTGATGCTGAGGCTAGCCTGAGGCTGATGCAGGCTGAGGCTGAGGCAGGCTGAGGCAGGCTGAGGCAGGCTGAGGCTGAAGCCGAGGCCGACGGCAGACTGAGGCTGAGGCTGAAGCAGGCTGAGGCTGAGGCAGAGGCAGGCTGAGGCTGAGGCTGAGGCAGGCTGATGCTGAGGCAGGCTGAGGCTGAGGCTGAGGCTGATGCAGGCTGAGGCTGAGGCAGGCTGAGGCTGAGGCCGAGGCTGAAGGCAGACTGAGGCTGAGGCTGAAGCAGGCTGAGGCTGAGGCTGAGGCAGGCTGAGGCTGAGGCAGGCTGAGGCTGAGGCTGAGGGAGGCTGAGGCTGTGACTGCGACTGCCGTTGCCACTGCGACTGTCGTCGTGAATGCGACTACGACTGCGAGAACAGCAAAATTCTACAATTGGATTCTCATCTGAATCTTAAGGGGAATGCTTCCAGATATGCTCCTACACATCGCTGTTAGGTTGCTTTGCCGGGATAATTGGGGGCCTTTGGGGGCTTCTTGGGGGCATATTTGGCCCTCTTCGGGCGTTCCTTGCTTGTCTGGCGCCGTCGGAAGCCGTCGAAGGGGCCTGTCTGGGTCGTCTTGGGGCCCTCTTGTGGCATATCAGGGGTTCTCAGGCCATCTTGGGCGTCTTGGAGGCCTCTTGGGCCGTTTCGGTTTTTTTGGGGGCCGTCTTCGGGGCTCTTTGTGCCGTCATGGGGCCATCTTGGAGGCCTCTTGGGTGATCTTGGGGGCCTCTTGCGCAGTCTTGAGCCGTCGGGATGCCGAGAAGAAGCAAATTCCCAAACCTTTCAAACACCATCGGGTAATCAATGATTTTGGCCTCTTCGTGCCCTCCTGGAAGACCATCCGGACGCCTTTTGGGCCGTCTTGGCGGCCTCTTGGGGGCCTCTTGGGCCGTATTGCGACATCTTGAGGCCATCTTAGGCAGTCTTGGGTGCATCTTTGGGCCGTCTTGGAGGCATCCTGGGGTCATCTAAGCCGTCTTGGAAACCAATTTTGGCCGTCTTGGAGGCCTCTTGGGCTCTTTTGGGGCCGTCTTGGGGGCCTCTTGGGCCGTCATGGGGCCATCTTGGAGGCCCCTTGAGCGATCTTGGGGGCCTCTTGGGCCGTTTCGAGCCGTCGGAATGCCGAAAAGAAGCTAATGCCACAATCGTTCAAAAACCGGATGAAAATAAATGATTTTGGCTCTCGGGCCCTCTTGGGCCGTCTTGGAGGACTCTTGGGGGCTTCTTGGGCCGTCTTAGGCCATCCGGAGGCCATCTCAGGCCGCCTTGGGTGCATCTTGGGCCGTCTTGGAGGCATCTCGGGGCCATCTTAGCCGTCTTGGGGGCCATCTTGGGCGTCTTGGAGGCTTCTGGGGCCGTCATGGGGCCCTCTCGGGGCCCTCTGGGGGCTCTCTTGGGACCCTCTTGGGAACCCTGGAAGGCCCCTTGGGGCTATCTTGGAGGCCATCGACCACAGGAGGAACGGGGATAGCATTCAGCCCCCTCCCCCCGAAAAGGCCAACTGGGGCCATGTGCGTGCGTTGCACGAGTTTGCTTAGATCAACTTTTGGGACGTTGCATCCCCCCCTCAGCAGCTGTCCCCGCCGCTGCTGGGGCTCAAGCTTCCAGCGGGTATGTAGCCGCAGTGCCCGACCAGTGCTCTCGGGGCCCTGGTGACCTTCTGGGCCGGCTTCCTGGCCCATAGCACCGTCCGGCCCGGCGCGCTGGCTCCCGAGGGCGAGCTCTGACTGCGGGGCGGGCGAGGGCACGAGTTGGAGGCCAGCCCCGTCTTGGGCTCGTCGTCGCGGACGACAACAAGGGGCCGCCGCGCCCCAGTGCATTTGCTTGGCGCCCCTGGCGCCAGAGAAGGCCGCCCCGCAGCCGCTGCGGGTGGCTGGGGACGGGCTTGGCGCCGCCGTGGAGCTTCCGCTGGCGCTGGTGGCAGGCAGCGGTCTGGTGGCCTTGGCGGCCGCTGCAGGCTCTGCTTGGGGGCTGGCGTCGCGCAGGGGCGCTGATAGGCGGGCTCGGGAACCTCTGCGGGAATCCCGCATTCACGTGGCGTGATGGCGCTGGGCTGCGCTGCCCCTGGGATGCGTGTGCTGGTGCAGTATAATGATGATCCGGGCTGGACACACGAAAGGTTGTTGCTGTGGCCGAACTCGTCCGATCAGGCTTCGTGGGTGGTGTGCGCTGCTGGCAATGACTTGAACACGGAGGTGCTCGAGGACTACAGCATGATTGCCCAGTGGACTGGGCGGGGTCGCTATCCCGCTGGCGTTAGGAACGTGGTGGCGTTCCGTCGAGAGCTGCAGCTGGAGGAGACTGTCAGCCTGGTGAAGCGCGGCAGAGGCGAGGCGGCCCTCGAGCTCGGCGCGGCCGCTACTAGCTAGTGGTCGGAGGACGGCGCGAACTGTGCGGGGGGGCTGCTGGCGACGCCCGCCCCCGCGGCGGTCGAAGTCCCTCGCGTGCGGCGGCGGCTCCGCCTGAAGGCGAGCGCAGCCCAGACGGACTACGGCCCTGCGGGCCGCCCTGCGCTGCCGTTGGCCGACGGCGTGCCGCCGCCGCCTGGGCCCCCTGACGACCGGCCGCCCGGCTCCTGGGTGCTGGCGGCGTTGGCAGGCGGCGAGGAATTCGGGTGCGAGGTCGAGCTCTCGGCGGCGGCGATCCTGCGGGGGCGACGCGGACTCGACAGGAACGCCGAGGGCGAGTGGGTCCCAATGGAGTACGTGAAAATGGAGGCGGTGGAAGGCTGGCGAGACGGTAAGCTCGTGGCCGCGGATCGTCGGTCGGCTACCCGGGATGCGGTTCCCCGGCGGCGTCTAAGGGACGTTGGCGCCTCCGCCCGAGGTCGAGGCGCGCCTGGTGCTGGCCTGGGCCCCGCGGGCGGGCAGGGGGACTTCGGGGCGTGTTGGGTCGACGTGGGCGAGACGGGGTCTCGCTTCGAGGAGTGGCGTAAGGTGGCGCAAGAGAGTGCGCAGGTGCGCAGGAGGTCTTCGCTGACTCCAGCCTTCGCGGGCCGCCTGCCTGTCCTGAGGTGTGCCGCAAGATGTGCCGCAGCGGCGGCGCGCCGAAGATTTGCTTCCAGGGGTGGTGCAAGGAGACGGGCATCTTGCGGCGTGATCGCGCCTACCACGAGGCGCAGACTCTGCCGGAGTGCCTGCGCCTCGCAGGCGCGAGCGATCAGTTGAAGCTGGGGGCGCTCGCGTCGCTGGAGGTGGTCGCCGGGGGGTTGCCGCGTTGCACCGAGGCCTGCGCTCGCGGGGCGGACCGCGCCAACTGGGGCGCGGCGAAGAACCCGGCGGGAACGTCCAACTTGGACGTGGCGCCAGAGGCTCTTCGCAGCTACGCCAGCTGGCTCAGCAAGGAGGGGCGCGAGCTGGAAGCGCTGCGTGCCCGCGCCAAGGCCCCCGGCGGCCTGGCGGGGGATGGCGGCCGGGCAGCCGCCGCTGCCGCCGCGGGCGCCGGGGGGCCGCTGCTGCCGGGCGGCGCCGAGGGAGGTGGCGGAGCTGGAGATGCAGGAGACGGAGGCCGTGTCCGAGGTCGCCGGCGCAAGGGCGGGCGGGGTCGCGGGCTCCGCCCCCGGACACGTGGCGTCTGGGGCCGATGGGGGGCGGGTGCCCGACCGCTCCCCGCGGGCGCGAGGGCAGCGCGGGGCTGCAGGGATCTTCGTTCTTGCCTTTGGCCCCGCTGACCGAGCTGCCGGACTGCTGGTGCGAGGGCCCCGGCGCGGCGCGGCGCCGCCGATGGCTTCGCGACGGCCGCGCAGCCTGCGAGAGTTTGAATTGCCTGCGCGGAGGCGCCCATCGGGCTGATCGCTCGCCCCCGAGCCTGGTCAGCCAGCTCGAGATGGACGCTGCATGGGCGGACGTGCGGCGGCGCGTCTTCTCGGCGGCCCGCCGCTGGATTGACGTCGACAGCGCCGTCGCGGAGGAGGAAGCATTCGCCGGGCTTCTGAAGGGCAAGGCGGGATGCGTTCCGCTTGGCTCAACCAGTATGGGCTCCGACGAGCGCTCGCGGTTGAGCTTGCCAGACAGCGTCGTCGACGCGCCGAGCTCGGCCACCGCGCTGCCCGTGCAGGCGAGGCTCTACCTCCGGGAGCTCGCGCGCAGAATGCTGCTGCCGCCTAAGGAAGCCGCACTAATGCGAGGACTTGATGGGGTTCCTGGCTGTCATGTCGACCCTCTGCTGCAGCGGCCGCGGAGTTATGGGAAGTTCGCGAGGCGCGCGCTCTCGGTCGGCCTTGTCAGCCTGACCCGCCGACCTCTTATTTTTTTTGACCCCCCCTTTTTTTGTTTTCTCCTCTCTCTCTCTCTCTCGCTCTCCTGTTGTGAAGAACGAGGATGGGTCTCGCCTTCGCCTCGATGTGGACAGCGGGAGGAGCAATGCCTTGTTTTGGCCACCTTCTGGCGTGGACTTGCTTTCGGGCGATGGGCTCGACCGCGTTGAGATGCCGATTTTGTGGGGGGCCGACTACCGCGCCGCTCTGCGCGGTTTTGGGCGTTGGCGACGTCGCTGGCTGCTTCCGCTGGATGAAGTTGGACGGCGACACCAGGCGCTACTTTTGCTGGCCGCCGCTGGGCGCTGCTTTGACTGGTGAAGTTCTGGTTGAGGGGCGCCCTGTGGCAGGGGGCGAGCTGGTTTGACCGATGAGCCAGAGCCTCCCGACGGGGTTCTCCTGGTCGCTGTACTTCGCGCAGGCCGCAAATCAGTCGAGGCTGAATCGGCAGCCGACGCTGGCCCGCAGTTTGCGGTTAAGCGACCGCGTGCCCCCGCTGGCGCGGCGTCGCGATGCCGCTGGTGCTACCCTGGGCCACTTCATGTACGTGGACAGCGCTGGAGTGCTTGGGCTCGAGGCTTCCCGAGCAGCGGCTGCGCTTCAGGAGGTCTATGCGGATTTCGAAGAGGGCCACTTGAAGTTCCACGAGGTTGAGCTGCTGCCAGAGGGGCGCCGTTCGCTCGGCTGCTGCGTGGACGGAAAGCTTCGCGCCACTGGGCCCGCCGACGAGAGTTTCGCGATGGTGCGGAAGGACTTCGGGCGCTTGCTGAGGCGGCCAGAGGTCGCAGGGTGGCAGCTGCAGACGGTGCTGGGCCACGTGACTTTCATGGGCCTGGTTCGCCGCGAAGTATTGATTATTTTTCCATGCAGTATACGCTTGCGCGGCGCAGCGTTTCCACGCCTTCTCTGTGTTGTGGCCCTCGGTGCGCGAGGAGCTGGCGTGCTATCTTGGTATCGTGGTGCTACTGAAGTCAAGCTGGGCCAGGCCATTGGCGCCTGTGGTCTATTCGTCCGACGCGAGCCTGTTCGGCTACAGCGTCGCCGAGGCCTGCTTTGACCCCGAGGCCGTCGCCGAGGTCGGCCGGGTGTCGGAGCCATCGCGGTGGCGCTTGGGAGCTGGGTTGGCGCGGCAGCGTGCCTTCGAGTGCGCCGGCTTCCTGCTGGATGTCGAGACTGGCCAGGTCGTGCGGGATGCCGAGGGGGCGCCCCGGCAGCTGGGCGCCGAGCTTCGACGAGTGCTGGCTAGCGAGCGCTGCGAGGCCGATCCCAGCTTCCCCGAGGTGCCGAGCCTGCTCCTGCATGACTCCCACTGGACCGCGTTGATGGCAGACAGGTTGGTCTTTGAAGGTGATATCCTTACACTCGAGGCGCGGGCGCTAGTGAAGGCTGCCTCCCGTGCCGCGCACTGTCAGGCAGTGAAAGAATGACGCGCTCTCTTGTTGGGAGATAGCCTCTCTGTTGCGGTTTGTTTTTGCCGCTTCAGGTCTGGGGAGTTGTCGGTTTCTGATTCAGGTCCGTCGTTTCGCAGCTCTGTGCCTGGCATGAAATATCAAGTTTGTTGTTCGATGGGTGCCGAGCGAGTTCAATTCTGTTGGTGGGGGCAGCCGCCGATTCGACGCCAGTTGAGATGTCGCCAAGACCCATGTTACCCATCTTGGCTCAAACTTGATTTCTCCCCAGGTGTCTCGACAGGGCCTCGCCCATGCTGCCGAGGCGGGCCCCGCCTGTTTGCGAGTCCCCGCGTCGGCGGGCGCTGAGCCGAGCGGCGGGGGCGCCGAGCTCGCCCGCGGTCGAGGTGAGCCGTTGGCGCGTGCGGGCGCTGAGCGCGGCCGGGAGCTGACTGGAGTCGCCGGGGCCGCCGCCCGCGCAGTGGGCTTGCACTCTGGACCGCGGCCGCGGGCTCGTTGCGAGGCCGGTGATTCAGCAGGCCGCGAGGGCGCCGCGTCGAGAAACCGTCGATGGCTTCCTGGAGCGGGATCGCCGCGCGGCGCCCCCCCGGGCCGAAGACGGCCGGGGCCGCGAGGCCGCCGGGGCAGAGGTGGAGAGCGCGAGCGAGGGGAGCAGCGGCGCCGTGGAGACCTCCGCGGCGGGCAGGAGCACGCGGTGCCTCGAGGCGAGTGGCAGGGCGCGGGCCCGGCAAGCGCTCGCTTCGCTGGAGGCGCCCGCCGACGGGGTGCACGACGAGAAGCTGGGCATCAGCTACCTGGAGAAGCGCTCGGTGGGCGCCGCCGCGCTGGAGACCTACCGCCAGTGCGTGCTCGCATTCTGCGTCTGAGCCCGCCGCTCGCTCGCCGCGCTGCCGGCGCCTGCGCAGCTGGGCGGTTGCCTCGTAGATTTCATGAACGAGGAGTTCTTGAAGGGGGTGAAGTCGTGGCGGGGGGAGCAACTGCTAGCGGGGCTGATGTTCTGCCACCCGGACTGCGGCCGCTTGGGGGGGCTGTGCCTGCCGCGGTCCTTGCGCTGCTTGAAGGGGTGGAAAGAGCTGTCGTCATCTCGATCTCGGACGCCCTTCGTATGCGCGATCTGGGCGGCGATGGCCGTGGAGCCGCGCCGCCTCGGGGCGCCCTTGGCGGGGGCGATGGCGCCGATCATGGCGGGGTGCTGCCTGCGGCCGGGGGGGGGGGGCGCTGAGTTTGACCAGCAGGCCTTTCTTGTCTCCGGGCGAGCATGCTGTTCAGAACTGGGTCGCCTGGCTGTTTTCGGAAGGGGCTGCTCGGGGTAAGGCGGGGTCTGCGGACGCTGCGATGCTTTGCGATTCGGGCAGGTGCTTTCGGATGGCCCGCATTTTTCGAGCTCTCGAGGAGAAAGGATCATCGAGGCCTGTTCTGGACTTGAGCCACCCTTAGTTCCTGGGCCTTTTTTTTCTCGGGGAGCGCCTGTGAACATCCGGGTCGACGCCGCCCCATCTCAAAGCCGACGCAGCGGGGCATCGCTGGGTCGGGGAATATGGGCTGCAGCGAATTCGGTGAAGCGATGCGAGAAGTCAGGGCGCCTGAGCGAGAGCTGGCAGCGTCTGTCAGAGGCTGCCTGGGCGCGCTGCGCGACCGCGGGGGGGCAGTTTGAGGACGTGCTGCTGCTCGGGCGGCCCGCGCCCGCGCCTCCATTCGCGCGCCGCGCGGGCTCTTGCGGGCGCCCGTGAGCGCGGAGCTGGCGCGGAGGTCGAGGCTGTATCTGCTGGATCTTTTCTCTGGCGGCGGTGGCGTTGGCGGCTCTGCGATATGTCTGGGGCGCGACGCAGTCTGTCTTGATTTGAGGGGGGGGGGGGGGGGGGGGTCGGCCAGGACGTTTGCAGCTGCTACAATCTTGACTTTGTCGAGAGACACTTCCGAGCTAAGTTGATTATGGCTGTGATGCTGGCACCTCCTTGCTCGGCGTTATCGTTTTTCTCGCAATCGTTATCCTGTCAGAACTTCGGGGCGCCCCGAGGGACTTCCGAACCTGCGCCCCCAAAGCGTGGGGGCTGTCCGTGCAGGGGACCTTTGTATGCGCGTGGCTGTCTATTTTGCCCGAGTGTGTTCCATTCACGGTGTGCCTTTCGCGATGGAGAACCCGCAGACATCGTGCATGTGGCGGTGCAAAGACCCGTGCAGACATGTTCGCCCCCTCGGAAGAGTGTTGGATCTGCATCAGTGTGCCTCTGGGTCGAGATGGAGAAAAGCAGCTCGAATTGTTTTTGGTTGTGCGACGGAATCTCTGAATCTTCTTTTGGCGTACCCAGGGCGGCTGAGGTGCCATGGGAAGCGTGGTTTCTGTTTTTTTCCGGCCAGGGCGCAAGCGCGTTATCCTATAATGGAACGCGCTGACATCCCGGGCATCGGCCTATCCTTCGCGTCTCGGTCGTTGGCTGTGCACTGCCTTGCTGGACTCGGAGGGAGGACAATCGAGCAATACGGCCGCCGCATCATAGGGCAGACGCCTTTCTCCGCCCGAGAATTGGCCATTGCCGCTTCACTGTGAACTACGACTGGCGCAGATTTTGAAGGTTGATCGTTTTGCACTGTTCTCTTTCTCTGGCTGCAACCATTCGGTATCAGAGTTCACCACCGAACAAGGAGCTGAACATGTATGTGCGTTGCGCGAGTTTGCTTCGACCAAGTTTTTGCACGTCGCATCCCCCCGTTTCAGCAGCTGTCCCAGCCGCTGCTGGGGCTCAAGCTTTCCCACCCACGGCCGCCCTGGACATGGCTCTCTACATAGCGCACGCCTTCTTTCCACCTTCTCTGTCTCACGGAGGTTGGTCGTTCTGCACTGTTGTCTTTCTCTGGTTGCAGCCATTCTGCATCAGAGTTCACCACCGAAAAAGGAGCTGAGCAAACCAATGACTTTGGCGCCCAGAGGGCTGGTGGGATAACGTTCATCCCCCCCCCCACAGAGGCCAACATGGCGCCGAAACCTTGGTACAACCACTAGTTTTGGCGCCCAGATGGCTGGTGGGTCATTTTTCACCCCCCTCCCCAACGAGGCCAGGGGCCAGCACCTTGGTAACACCAGTGATTTTGGCTTCCTCGCTGGGGCCTTTTTTTGGACGCCCTGACACGTCGCGGGGGGGGGACCGAACAAGTCCAGGGGAAGGGTAAGGGGAGGGGTAAGCCCCTCCCCGTAGGGGGGGCGTTTTTTTTTTTTTTTTTTTTTTTGTTTTTTTTTTTTTTTTTTTGTTTTTTGAGAATTGGGGAGAGGAATCTCTTTAGACCACCTGTCGCCCAAAGGGCTGGTGGGATTCTTGCAAAACCTCCACCAGGCAGCAGGCGAGCATTCTTACACGCCCCATCGGGAAGAAGGTATCATAGCGGATAATTGTCTTGCTCCTTCATCCGCTGCCAAATCGTCGTGCCGCTTCTCGTCCATGTTCTCTTCTTCCTCCTCCTCCGCCTCCTCCTCCTCCTCCTCCTCCCTTCGTCGCCGCCGCCGCCGCGCCGCCGCCCATCACGCCCACTGCCACCATCAACGTTACCAACCCTACCTTTGCGCCCTACCCTCACGGCCACCACCCCAGAGTCTCCCAGAGCTTCAACACAGCTACCTCTGCAGCCGAGGAGGGAGGAGGCGGGGAGGAGGAAAACAGGGATGAGGGAGCTGGATGCACGCTAGCAGAGGGGGTGAGGAGAAGGAGGATGCATATCTCCGCGTTTTCCATTTTCTTTCTGCTGTTGTTTAACACTTGGGCGAGGATCAATGTTTAGGGATGTAGAAAGTGTAGAAAGTGTAAGAGGGAGGGGGGAGGATGGTGATGATGCAATAGCCAGTGATCATGATTAGGATGATGGTGATGGTGATGGTGATGGTGCTGCTGCTGCTGATTTTTTCGATGACGATGACACCGACGATGATGATGATGCTGCTCCTGCTGCTGATGATGACGATGATGGTGCCGATGATGATGACGACGATGGTGATGGGTGCTGATGATGCTGACAATGATGATTGGTGATGATGGCGACGGTGGTGGTGCTGGTGGTGATGACGATGGTGGTGGTTGTGGTGATGCTGATGATGATGATTATGTTGACGACGACAATGACGATGATACTGATGCTGCTGATGACGATGATGCTGACGACGACCTGCCCGGGGCTCCTGGAATTCTTTCTGCGGCCTTCCCTGTCGCGCGGCTGCGAGGCGCCCTGTCTGTCCTCGTTCGACCCTCCTGGTCTGCTGCTGCTGCTGCTGCTGGTGAGCATATCGATGATGTTGACGACGATGACGATGACGATGACGATAATGATGATGCGGATGATGATGATGATGATGATGATGATGATGATGAGGATGGTGGTGATGCCGATGCTGATGCTGATGCTGATGTTGCTGATGCTGATTACGATGACGATGTCGATGACGATGATGATGATGATGATGATGATGATGATGATGATGATGATGATGATGATGATGATGATGATGATGATGATAATGATGATGATGATGATGATGATGATGATGATGATGATGCTGACGCTGCTGATGATGACGATTTATGTTGACGATAATGGCGATGATGCTGTTGCTAATGATGATGATGGTGATGATACTGACCATCCTGAACAGCATGATGACGATGATGGTGCTGGTGAGGATGATGATGATGCTGCCGCTGATGTCGTTGATGATGATCGCGATAGTAATGATTCTAATGCTACTGCTACTGCTACTGATGATGCTGATGCTGATGAGGATGCTGAGGCTGATGATGATGCTGATGCTGCTTCTGGTGATGATGCTGCTCATGATGATGCTGATGATGATGCTTGTGATGATGCTGAGTCTACTGATGGTGATCATGCTGATGGTTATGGTGATGATGATTTTGATGGTGCTGGTGCTGATGCTGATGAT